GACTCCTCGGGCAGCGTAAGGGCGATGCGCGGCTCGAGAGCGCCGGCGACCATGGCGCCCTTGCCGTTGCGCGAGCAGCCCGTGACGCCGATGCGCTTGGGGTCGATCTTGGTCTGGGCCTGAGTGAGCTCGAGGGCGTCGATGATGCGGGAGACGCCCCAGGCCCAGGCCGTGAGGGCGCCGGCGGAGTGCGAGCTGCCGTAGAGGGTGTAGAACTTGCCCTGGCCGCGGGAGCTGCCACCCTGCTGGGCGGCAATGTCGTCGTTGTTGAAGTTGATGGTGGCCACCCCGGCGGGGATGGGGAGAGAGGCACCAAAGGTGCCGAAGTTGATGATGGCAGGGTGAGGTCCGGCGCCCGAGGGGATGCCGCTGATGCTCACGCTGAACGAGATGGACTTGCCGCCCTCGGACGCCGTGATGCTCAGGGTGCTGCCCGAGAACGACGCCGAGACCGTAGAGGGCTTGGGAGGGAGGGTGCCGAGCTCGTAGCGCTGGAGGAGCTGCGAGATCTCAGCCTGCCTGCAGGCCCAGTCGGCCTTGGTGGTGACCTTGCCGCCGCCGTGGAAGGTGAAGGGGTCGTTCAGCTGGTTGGACACGGGCGAGCCCAGGCCGGATGGCGTGGACGGGCAGGTGCCGGGCGAGGGAGGAGTAGAGGTGGCGACGGGGGGGGCGACCGAAGTGCTGAGAGTCGTTGGGGTGGGGGCGACGACCGAGGTCACCGGCGCCTTGGTGGTTGCCGGAGCCGTGGTGGGGCCGGATCCGGGAATGCACTGGAAGTACCAGGGGTTCTGCTCAAAGCAGTATGATCCGCTCACGCACGTCTTTGCGCCGCTCCAGCCCTGGCCGCCACACTGGCCCCAGAGAGACTGTTGGGCGGTCGCGCCGGAGGCGGCGAGGGCCACCAGAAGGGATGAGGCTACTCTTGGAGATGGCATTTTCGGGAATTTTATGGCAGATCTCTGAAAGAAAACGGGGGAGGGGGGAACCTGGACCTGAAGACATCACGATTGAATTTCAGAGGCCTTGACGCAGGCTTATATACCAATCTATTCTCCCCGAGCGCAGGCTTCCCCGGGTTTCCATCTTCCCCCCAAGTCACAAAGTCTGGTTCGGCGAGGACAACACCGTGCCCATCCAGGACCAAGAGTGGTGGTGGCGTTGGTGTTCATGCTAGTGCAGGACCATACACGCCGTTAGGACGCCAAGCCAGTTACATGGCCCAGCGGCATCGTGGTAAAGCTTGTGGAACATGCCTACCGTACCATCTCGAAGCGTCAAGGATTTTAGCCTGAATCACGGGCCCGGGAGGCTGTCACTCAAATCCGGGGTTCTGCGGGTGCGTAGACGCCAAGGGGCTGCCATGTTTTTTGTGACAAGTGATCATGCTGAGAGGCTCCCACGCGGGTACCGATATGGACGGGTGGTCCTGCTTCCCGGTTCAGAACGTGGACTTGATCTATCCAGCTCCGGATGCGTCCCAGTTGTCTATTTCTGCATTCGCTTGAATTTGTCCGTGCTACCTTCGTATTCGTTATTGTTAGATTCCCAGTCTCTGATTACCTAACGGTAATCAAAACTCCATGCAAAAGTAAGAAATACTAAAAGGATAATTAGAATAACTCAGAAAGGTTCGGAAATTCTTGATCACTCGACTATTCCTCCCCCCGCCCTCCCCCCCTTGGTTTTCTGTTGACTGTCCCGAAGGTGGAACAAGTTATGATAGATATCCTGTCATTTTTCATACCAGACTAAGGTAGTGCACATTCCCTCGCATTTCCGGCATTCTATATTCCGTATCAAGCAAAAAACATTCCACCCCTTGGCCAAGCTCGGCCTTCTCTTGCCCATGCCGCCAAGAAACGATGTCACTGTTGATCCAAGGCCGCCCCAACCCGTCACCACACACACACACACACAAGCAACCAGAAAACAAAAGGGGAAACAAAGACGGAGGCTTAATGTACGCCACTCCGTCCCTAAATCAGGAAGCTGGAAGGTCTTGGCATTTCCATGAATACCACTCTGTGCTCGCGGAAACCCGGTAGTTGGTTCCCGGATAAAATGCCATGTGGGCGTTTATAAGTGTGTTTGCTTTGAATTGCATTGAATACTAGTAGACCAGGTAGTATATAACCGTGAGGCTAGCCTTCTTCGTTTCCCCCCCCCCCCCCCCCACACAGCCCAAAAAGAAAAAAAGGAAAAGAAGAAAACGTGATGCGTCGTAGCATCATCGGGTTACGTCCCGTCCTTTGCTGTCATCTCCTTTTCTCCGGCCTACCCTAGTACGTACTACTATGCTAATAAGTGCAAGTGCATTTGCATTTGCATTTACTCCGATCAGCCCGGGAAGACACCCACCCATAATACCGTCCAACAAATATCAGAACTGCGGTTTGCTGCAGTTTTGCACCCCGTCACGGTGCGCCCCTGACGTACTCCTTGCAGGTACGTAGCAAAGCACTTTGCGCTCCAAGCGATCGAGTATAGATCGCCGCCGCTGGTGGGTGCGTAGAAGAAAAAAAAGACGCACGGGCTTCGACGATGTCCCGATTGGGGAGCGCCGGGGCAGACGGGGCCGCTGCGGCTTGGAGGACGGCCGAGGGGAAGACGAGAGGGATCTTGAGAAACTGCATTTTTTCTTTCTTCTGGTTGTCTCTCTGGTTTTGGGCTTTTCCGTGTGTGTTCAAAAATCTAGCAGGAAAAACCAACCTCGAGTTTTCTCATCAACTTCCCTTTTATAGATCCCTAATTATTTACACCAAGTCGTCGTGTGGACTTTTGGTGTGCTATTAAGACGGCATGATTCATGACACCGCCGGAGCAACGAGTGAAAATCAAAAACTCCCGAGACACTGCCTTCTCAAAAACAAAGTCAAGGGCATAAAACAAGCCATTATTATGTAGGTGCCTTATGTAGGTATATATTGCCAAATTTTGGGGGGGTTTATATCTGCATCTACTTGCTGACGGTGTGGCCGACATGGTGGTCAACAAAGTCGAGAACGGGCTGGATATATGTGTCCCAGCCGGGCACATCGGGTCCCTAAAGTAGAAAACAAGATGCTCATGTTAGTAAAAGATGTTTCGGCGTCTTGAGCAAATACCAACCAAAATGAGCAAGACAAGTCAGTACGGGTAGAAAAAAAAAACTAAAAAAACTCACCGTGTACTTCTTGTCAAAAACATGCGGCTCCCCCTCCTCGTAGCTCTCGACAATCGGGACTCCAATCTCCCTAAGCACCTCGGCCATCTCGTAGCTCTGCTGAATAGGCACCGCCTCGTCTCCGCTTCCGTGCAGGAGGGCAGTCGGCGGGTAGCTCCGCTTGATTCCCCTTGCCAGTTCGCCTCTGAGGACGCGGAGCGGCGACACGGACCCGACAAACGCCTTGAACTCGTCCTCGGTGGCGAACTTCTCCCTGTGCATGACCCCCTTTCTCAGCCCTTCGTACGAGCAGCTGAGCGATCGGCGGATGTGGAGCTCGGCCTGCAGCTTGACGCGCTTGGTGTACCTGAAGTCGGTCGCCCAGCGCTTGCTCAGCTGCTCCTCGGTCAGCAGCTCCTGTTCGTTCCACGAGACAGAGTCGGTCAGGATGTTGTCCGGGTTTCTGTCGGACAGGAACGCGTCCAGCTCGGCGTCGGTGTAATCCGAAGACCCCTCCCACTCGGCGACTGGCTTGCGGCTGGCGTCGTAGTTGGTAAAGGCAGGGAGGGCGAGAAAGTCGACGAGGCCGTAAACGTCGATGATGGCCTTGGGGGGCGGGCTGGTGAGGTGCAACCCCATGAGAGTGACGAGGTGGCCGCCCGCCGACTCCCCAACCAGCACGTAGCGGTCGACGTCGACCTTGTCCTTGCCCAGGATGGAGCCGAGATTGGCACGGCACCAGGCGACCGCCTCGAGACTGTCGGAGAGCTGGTCGTCAACGCGGGCCTGGGGTGCCAGGCGGTAGTTGTGGGAAACGAGATGGTATCCGCGAGCGATCAGACCGGCAGGCATCCATTTCAGAGGAGCGAAATCTGAAGAGGGTAATCGAGTTTTGATTTACCAGTCAACATTTGTATGGGGAAAGGGGGAGAAAAAGGGTAGTAGTAATTGGGGGGGAAGGGGGGCCTGCATACGGAATCCTCCGAACCATCCACCGCCATGGGTCCTGATAAAAGAGTGTAAGAGAAGTTGATTAGCAAATATTTCCAAGTTGGGAAAATAAGAAATGTAGATGACATTAGTATTTACCAAATAACAAAAGGCGCAGGCCCGTCGACGGGTGGGTTCGCAGGCCAAACGCGGACGCCCAGCTCTGTGCCGCTCTTGGAAGCAAATGAGTGGTCGGTGAAGCCGGGGGGTGCGGCCGGAGGGAGACTGGATTCGTCAGCCATTGTCATGTACCTACCTAATACAGCCTCCTCTATAGTAATTTTGTATGTGGGTGTGTATTTGGAGTGGTTGAAGGGGAAAAAGGGGGAAGATGTTAATTACCCCAAGTCCAGAAGAAGAGAGGGGGAAATTTTGAGGCGGCATTTATGGGCGTTCGGCAAATAAAAAAAAAAAAAAGGATCTAAAGAGCCCCACCACTGTTCTAGCCCAAGATACCCTAGTATGTAGATGATTTCACCTAGGTTTTTTTCTTTTTTATAATATTTCTTGGGTCTATAATTACAATTACAATTTACTGTTCTTCAGGCTGGGATTACACCAATCCTGAGACCGACCACAGTGATATTGAGGGCAGGTAGGTGTCTGGTAATTAAATATCGCAAGGGATGATGTTGGTGATATAATCACGGGACTGTATGATGTACACCGGATCTAGGAAAACATAGATAGGTGGTGTGTAGATTTCCATCTCAGTTCTGTATTACTGTCAAGCCAGCGGTCAGTTTGAGACGGTCAATTTACATGGCGTTGAGGGTGAATGATGGTACAAGTAAACATGAAGAAGTCATGATATAACTAGTTATGGAAATTAAGAATGCGGAAAAAAGAAAAAGAAAATCCAAAATGATTCCCATACCGGGGTTCGAACCCGGGTCGCCAGAAGTTTTCAACGTTCAAGGAGTAGATTGAAAATCTGGTATGCTAAACCACTACACTATATGGGAGCAGTTGCCCTGTTTGTTTTGACGTGGCAAGCACTTGTCTCATATACCTATGCACCCAGCCGCCGGGCGGTTGTGTGTGGAATCATTCAAGTAGTACATAAAAAGACCTGCGTGATAACGAAACACTGTTGCACTTCAAGTACCTACTTAATTAGGTACCCCATCACACGCAACCTCCGAGTCCTTGGTCAGCAATCCATATTTTGGTTATCCACTTAAACCACGGGCTCCCTGCTGATCATCCTGCGCCTTGTGGTCTTTCCCTTTGCTCCTCTGGCATTCATGACGGTAATAGTATGCACAAACCTCAGCTTCCCTCCCTCGACCCTGAACTCATGGCTGTCGGGGATTCCGCTGAAGCTCAGAAAGATCGACACGGCCCCGACCGTCTCGTCGATCACGTAGCGCCTGTCGGTGAGGCTCACGCCGCTCGGGATGCCCACGTCGCACTTGTCACTCGGCCCTCCGTTGCCCGTGTACATGCCGCCCTCCAGTCTTGCGCACGGCCGGCCCCAGGGGACGACGACGCTCTTGTTGCTGAAGATGTCGGCGTACGCGTCGCCCGCGGCCTGGATCACGGCTCTGCTGTCCCGCTTCCCCTCGGGGATGGTCCCCCAGTCCTCCTGGGACGCCCACTTGAGGGTCCCGGTGGCGTTGAACAGCCAATCCCCCGTCGTGGTGACGAGCAAGTCGACCTTGCTGATCACCTGCTGCGCGAAGAACATCTGCACGCCGATCACGTACGGCTGCGCGCCCGTGGCCGAGACGATCTCGGTGTAGGTTGCGCACTGCGTCGTGTCGAGGGAGTGGCGCGAGTGGTCGATCTTGAGGGCGGTCTTGATGATTCCAGAGGCGAGCGTGGCGGCCTTGAAGTTCTCGTGGTAGACGGTCGAGGCCGAGACGGGCGAAAGCAGCGAGGGGTCGCCGGCTTTCTGGGCGGCAAGGAGAGAATCCGCCGCGGTTTTGAGAAACTCGCGAGTGCACCCTGCCTGGGCCTGAGCCTGGACGAGGCCGAGGACCGTGCTGAGGACCGAGATGCTTGAAAGACGCATGTTGATAATAATCAGTAGGCAAATTGAACAGAAAGAACTTTAACCTAGCAGTGGAAAATAAAACGAAAAAAAAAAAAAAATCTTGAGATTCAAGGCGGGGGGTTTATGACGACAGATTTATATACATATAAATATATGTATAGGTGTATCATATGTGAGCCCATGGGGTCACAGTGGCTAATCTGTTTGACGGATAATTTGCCATAGGTCCCTTTTGCCCCCTTAATAATTTGAAGAAACATCAGGAAACAAAAGAGGAGAAAGTTTCCCTCGGCAGTTTGAATTGACCTCAATGATTGGCAGGCTCCAGCCAAAATAAATTCAAAGATATTTTTTTGCGCACCTATAGGAATTTTTGGAGTCCTGAACAAAGATTCACTCCCTCGGATCAAAGCCTGATGCAGCTGTGACCCCTACCCCTATCCTTGTATATCTTTTCGGCGAATATATAGAACTTGGATATCTATCCACGTCGGCAATACTCGAAGCATTCCCAAAGGGTATTATAGACTAGGTATCTAGGTAAATAAGCAACAGCCGAAAGGGAGCCCCAACACTTTAAAAGGCTGATTCAATCATCCTGATGCCCACATATGTGACTGGTATTTAGATGAGCTAGTTATTGTGATGTTTTCCAGGTAACCCAGTATAGAAGATGCTTAATTGTTCTTTTTATTTCATGATGGTTTCCGATCAAACATATGAGTCCTGTGGAGTACATATTCACTGTTACTTGGGTGGTCGGTGACAGGTAAGGCTTTGACCACAATCATTCGTTTCGGGAATAACAACCTCACCATGCAGCACTACAAACATTGTCTGAATACACACACTCATCTCGAAATTATCAAGTCTTGATGATGCCCAACTCACCACAGACGTGGCGTGCTGTGATATTGGGGACGGATTGCAGCATGGGGCGTGATGCTCTTTTAAAAAACCAATAAAAGCTTCGAACTAAAATCCTTTCGAGAGATATCTCGGTCAGTTTGACCAAAAATAGAGCATCATTGCAGATTGCTTGTGAAAGAATTGTGAACTCGAAACCCAACCTTGGTAAGTAGGAAGTAACAGAGAATGCCGACCAGAGACCGAGATTCATGATAGCTTTACCGGCTAGGAATATCTCGGTATCAAACGGCAGTTAAAGGTAGTATCCCAGTATCCAAACCCAGGGGGTTCAGGGGTGCCTTTTGGTCGAGTCAACAGCAGACTGCCTCTCCAAGCTCTACTAGAATCAGGGGGTCCGCCCAGGGGAATGACCAAGTATAAACAAGAAGGTTTTAATCTTCAACACAGAACAGTACAAATAACTTTACCGCATCGTAACATAACAGATATCTAACCGTGCCCATCCTTTCATACGGTGCATGTCAGGGGGGGAAAAGATGTTGGAAGGGTTGGGGGGGTCAATCAGGGTTAGGGTTTTGAAAACCACCCGCATCAAACCGAGTCAACCCCCCACCTATCCATGCCACCCCGTTGATTTCCGGGGGGTGGGGGGCTGTTCGCAGCAAGTTCTGAGACAACGCCAAGACCAAAACAGATCACGAACGTTTTTTTTATTTGGAGGGGTGAGAGGGTCGTGTGAGGAGGGGGCAGCTGAAGTGAAGGGAGAGAGGGGAGATGGATCCCGACAAACTCTCAAAAACCTCACTTTCAACTAAAATAATTATCTCTCGAAAAATAAACCTACCTCCCCGGCCCAGGTTTACCTTATAATCATTTATTTATTTTAAAACCAAAACTAATAACCTACCAAAAAAAAAAAAAAAAAAAAAAGACCCCCCAAAAAATGGACAGACCACCCCGCGCCCGTCCAATAGTCCACGACCTCTCGCTCCGGTACCTCGTCGTGCCGCCGGTGATCCTCGCGGCCCTCACGGCCGCCGTCCTCTTCCAGCACTCCGACACAAACATCTACATGCTCTACTCGCAGTGCCACGCCCGGTCCCGCCTGCCCTCGCTCACGGGGAACCTGCCCCTCCTCGGCTCCCCGCTGTGCTTTGTCGTTTCCTTCTTCCAGGAGTCGGCCGCCTCGCTGCGGTCCTCGGCCCTGCTGGCCGTCATCTTCTCCTTCCTCTCCGGCCTGCTCACCGTCTCGACCGTCGAGGCCGCGCGCGTGTGCAACAAGCCCAACCCGCTCATCGCCTACCCGACCGGGTCGTGGCTCATCTTCGACCTGGTCGGCGGCGCCTTCGTCTGGGAGCTGCTCTTCCTCCCGGCCTTCTTCCACCGGAGCAGGGAGATCATCAACTCCCGCCGCGCCGGCGAGCCCTCGGGACTGCCGGCCGGAGCCGCCGACCCGACGTTTGGCGAGTCGATGCGCCACCTGGCGGGGACGGCCGAGGCGGTCGCCATCCCCGCTGCCGTCGCGCTGGGGTTCGTGGTCCCCTCGGTTCTGCTGCTGACGTTGGACTCGGCAGCGACCGCCGCCGCGTGGCTCCTGTTCCCCATTTGGGTCTCGCTCATCCGCCAGGCCGTCAGGAAGGCGCTGGGCCTCGTCGTCAGAGCCGGGGAGAGCTGGCGGGAGACGCTGCACCTCGAGTCCAGCAGGGTTGCCCTGGTGGGCATGTACGCGGTGCCGGTTGCCTGCTCGGTCCTCGCCCAGGCCTTCTTGGTATGGAACCTGACCGCGCGGCCGGACGACCGCAAGGAGATGACGAGGGCCACCGTCAAGTTCATCGCGATTGACGCCTTCTTTGTGGGACTTACCGTCCTGTACTGGATCCTGGTTGAGGCCGGTTGGAGGGTTGCGCTGGTGATGGCGGCCGCTTCGGCAGTGCTGGGTCCGGGAGCCGGAATCTCTCTGGGCTGGATCTACCGTGAACAGACCGTCAACCCGGACAGGAGCGTGACGGTCGTCGCCGTGGGCGCACCGAGAGGCAGCGATGATGGTCACACCTCTGAGGAGACGCCCCTGCTGAGATGACAGAAGATGGGAAACACGCAACCTTTTCTTAATTTTTGCCAAGACTGAATGACAATACCTAAACTTTTCACGAATATAATGCTTAATTCCAATATAATTGCCCACACAGCCTTTCATATTTTTATTATTGTACTTGTTATTATTTTATGAGTTTGCCTACCACGTTCATTCATATCCTCGTGCTGTTGAAAACGTGCATGTCTAAAATTACCTAACGAACCCCCACCAACAAGTGGGATGGCGCCATCCAAGTCCGAAATGGCGTCAATCATTACCGACCATTTAAAAGGCAGCAAACCCATTTTCCTTTGGCGCCACGCTACAACAAATGTGTGCAATCAAAACGACAACCAAAAGCAGAAAAAAAAAAAAAAAAACATATACATGTTATATATATGCCCAGCCAGCCCATTACATGCTCCCCAAAAATTGTCCTGGGTTCGACCAGCCATTAGAAAAAGCCGACCAGTCCAACCCGTATAGCTCAGGACCAAAGTTGAGTCCTTCAATCATCACTTCCTCAAACGCATTGCTCCCTGTTGTCACCGCGCTGGCCTGAGAAGGTGCCGCGGGGGCGGGTATCACGGAATCGGGCATGGGCATACTGAAACTTTGCATCGACGTGCTAGCGGCGGCAGGTAACAGGGGCATTTGGAAAGAATCACGCGCAGGAGTTTGCTCTGCAGGAGCAATGGAGTCAGATTGGGCCGATGCCGCGTAGAGCAGCGGTCGCGGCGGGCTTTCTGGCAGGATAAGCCCGTGGGAAATGAGCCGTTCAATATCCGCTTGCTGATGGGGGCGTGTTAGCAAACATTCTTCTCCATTATACATATAAATGGACGAGGGAAAGCCTACAATGCTGGCGGATGCGCACCCGGCCGTTGACTGTCGAGCAGCCTTCAGACATACATTGGCCAGTTCACGTACCCGTTCGTGGGTGAAGCCAAGATTCGCCCCGTCCGTCTGCAAGCCATGATACAGTACCTTGGAGCACTGGAAAGCGCATCCCGGCAAGT